TTATAGGGTGAATGCAGAAGCAAAGCAAAGAAAGTATTTGATTTGCTGAAGTGGAGCAGTTGCTTTACTTGGATCATTCCAGTGGAAAGTCCTGGGTTAGAGGTTAGTTGACGGTTTCTGGTTGGCTCCTAGAATATGACCTTTTACATTAAGTTGGGTTTTGGTTTGCTTATGTAGGAACTCACAGCACTGGGACTACCTCATTCTAATGGCTTCCCAATTATTTTAACGGCATGGGAAAAATGGTGCCCCACTGAGAATTTTAATATGCAAATTATCACTGAAATGATTTGGTCACTCAGACTGGCTGAGACTGTCAGAGTCATGGATTCAGGCACCTCTCTCTGCACTGCTAGAAGTGGTCTAGATGGTACGGCCTTCTGGGGAAGAAGTTGGCAGGATGTGATTTTAAATGGACACAGCCTGTGTACTCACAGGCAATTATTTTAAGGCATAATCAGCAAACTGTGAATAATGAGTTCTTGATTGTCTGTTACAACATCATTTATAAAGCAGAAAGCTTTGGAAACTAAATGGAAACAGGAGGAAACTGGTAAAGATGTTTTGTTACATTCAAATACTGAAATGCCATACAGTGAGTTAAACTTATGTTATTGAAAAATGCATAGAAGGCCGGGCGCAGTGGCCAAGCCTGTAATCCCAGCACTTTGGGAGGCCGAGACGGGCGGATCACGAGGTCAGGAGATCAAGACCATCCTGGCTAACATGGTGAAACCCCATCTCTACTAAAAAATACAAAAAACTAGCCGGGCAAGGTGGCTGGCGCCTGTAGTCCCAGCTACTCGGAAGGCTGAGGCAGGAGAATGGCGTAAACCCGGGAGGCGGAGCTTGCAGTGAGCTGAGATCGGGCCACTGCACTCCAGCCCGGGCGACAGAGCGACACTCCGTCTCAAAAAAAAAAAAAAAAAGAAGAATGCATAGAAGAAAATATACAATATAGTGAAGAAAGCAAATTATATTTTGAAGCTCAATTCTGTTTTTCTTTATAACATTTCTCTTGCTTATTCATTCTTAATAAAAATACGTGAGGAAATACCAAAATGCTATCAGTACTGGCCGGGCGAGATGGCTCACACTTGTAATCCCAGCACTTTGGGAGGCCAAGGCGGGTGGATCACTTGAGGTCAGGAGTTCGAGACCAGCCTGGCCAACATGGTGAAACCTCATCTCTACCAAAAACAAAAAAATTAGCCAGGTGTGGTGGGGCACGCCTGTAGACCCAGCTACTCAGGAGGCTGAACAGGAGAACTGCTTGAACCCAAGAGGCAGAACCCAAGAGGCATAGGCTGCAGTGAGCCAAAATTGCGCCACTGTACTCTAGCCTGGGTGATAGAGCAAGACACTGTCTCAAAAAAAAAAAAAATTAAAAATTAAAAAAAATATATATATATGTATATGTTAGTATTTCTCTCTGGGACATAGGGTTGCACATGATTTTTAAAATTTTCTTATTTATGTTTTTCTTTTTTCCTCAAATATTCTACAACAAAACACAGAAAAAAAAAAACGAAGCTCATGAAGATGTAGATATAGATACAAAGTATTTAACAGTAAATAACATTCTGAATAAAATAAAATCATGTGACTTACATAAAACCAGCAATCTATACAAGAGAAATGAATATATATCCACACAGACTTGTACAGGAATGTTCATAGCATCTTTATTAACAATAGCAAAAAGGAGAAACAACCCAAATGCCCATCAAATGGTAAGTAGATCAACAAAATGTAGGCTATTCATACAGTGGAATATTATTTGGCCATAAAAAGGAATGATGCACTGACACATGGATGAGCCTCAAAAACGTCGTGCTCAGTGCAAGAAGCCAGACACAAAAGGCCACGTGTTGCATGCATGATGCCATTTATATGAAATGTCCGGAAAAGGCAGATCCACAGATACAGAAGCAAATAAGTGGTTGACCAGGGCTAGGGGAAGAAATGGGGAGTGAGGTTTCATTTTAGGGTGATGAGAGTTCTAAAATTAGATCATGGTGATGTTGGACAACTCTGTAAATATACTAAAATTCACTGAATTGTACATTTTATTTTATTTTATTTTTATTGTATTTTTTTGAGACAGAGTCTAGCTTTGTCGCCAGGCTGGAGTGCAGTGGCGTGATCTCGGCTCACCGCAACCTCCACCTCTTGGGTTCAAGCAATTCTTCTGCCTCAGTCTCCTGAGTAGCTGGGATTAAAGGCACGTGCCACCACGCCCAGCTAATTTTTGTATTTTTAGTAGAGACAGAGTTTCACCATGTTGGCCAGGATGGTCTCGATCTCCTGACCTTGTGATCTGCCCACCTTGGCCTCTCAAATTGCTGGGATTACAGGTGAGAGCCACCACACCCGCCCGAATTGTGCATTTTTAATGGATGAATTTTGTGGTCTATAAATGATCTCAGTAAAGCTGTTATTTTTAATAATTTAAAATAGGTTTCATTATTTTTCCGTATTTTTTTTTTTTTTTTTTTTGAGACGGAGTCTTGCTCTATCGCCCAGGCTGGAGTGCAGTGGCATGATCTTGGCTCACTGCAAGCTCCACCTCCCAGGTTCATGCCATTCTCCTGCCTCAGCCTCCTGAGTAGCTGGGACTACAGTGCCCACCACCTCGTCCAGCTAATTTTTTGTATTTTTAGTAGAGACGGGGTTTCACTGTGTTAGCCAGGATGGTCTCGATCTTCTGACCTCGTGATCCACCTACCTCAGCCTCCCAAAGTGCTGGGATTACAGGCGTGAGCCACCGCGCCCGACCGGGTTTCATTATTTTTCAAACAGTAAACATACTAATGCAGCCAAGACCCAATTGCAACAAAACTCTATATCTGCTGACTCATCAAGTTGCTAATTATATCATGTTTTCTTCCTTTTTTTTTTTTTTGGAAATTAGAAATGTGATTCTAAAATGTAGGTGGGGACGCTAATCCAAGATATTGTTCTTACATGTCATTATCTTCTCAGAGTAACACTACCATCTTTACCTCTACCCTCTGAAGACAGCTTTAAACATTTAAACGAAAGAAATTATACAGTATGTACTCAGATATCTAGCTTTTCTTTTTTTTACTCAGTATTATGTCTGTGAGTCATCCCTGTTGTTGTGTGTCAATAATTAACATTCAGGGCCGGGCGCGGTGGCTCAAGCCTGTAATCCCAGCACTTTGGGAGGCCGAGACGGGCGGATCACGAGGTCAGGAGATCGAGACCATCCTGGCTAACACGGTGAAACCCCGTCTCTACTGAAAAATACAAAAAAACTAGCTGGGCGAGGTGGCGGGCGCCTGTAGTCCCAGCTACTTGGGAGGCTGAGGCAGGAGAATGGCGTGAACCCGGGAGGCGGAGCTTGCAGTGAGCCGGGATCACGCCACTGCACTCCAGCCTGGGCGACAGAGCGAGACTCCGTCTCAAAAAAAAAAAAAAAAAAAATTAACATTCAGATATTTGTTAACATCCATTCTTCATGATGTTAATAAAAATTCAGGCCGGGCACGGTGGCTCACACCTGCAATCCCAGCACTTTGGGAGGCCAAGGCGGGTGGATCACTTGAGGGTTCAGGAGTTCAACACCAGCCTGGCCAAATGGATAAACCCTGCCTCTAGTAAAAATGCAAAAACTAGCTGGGCATGGTGGCGGGTGCCTGTAATCCCAGCTACTTGGGAGGCTGAGGTAGGAGAATCACTTGAACCTGGGAGGCAGAGGTTGCAGTGAGCTGAGATCTAGACACTGCACTCAAGTCCGGGCGACAGAGCAAGACTCCGTCTCAAAAATAATAATAATAATAATAATAATAATAATAATAATAATAACAACAACAACAACAACTTGGTCTTTCATTGAGAAAGAAATGCATGGCTAAAACATGATGGTTTGGGAGGCCAAGGCAAGAGCTTGAGCTCAAGAGTTGGACCAGCCTGGGCAACATAGCGAGACCTTGTCTCTACTGAAAAAAAAAAAAGAAAAATAGCTGGACGTGCCAGTGTGCACCTGTACTCCCAGCTACTGGGGGATTTAAAGTAGGAGGCCCACTTTAGTCTGGGATGGGGAGGTTGTGATCAGCTGTAATCACGCCACTGCACTCCAGCCTGTGTGACAGAACAAGACTCTGTCTCTAAAAAAAATTTTTTTTTTTCATTTAAATTTTTAAAATGTGATGAACTTCTGTAATAAATGGGGCCTTTGTTTCTCCATGGACTTTCTCACTCTAAGAGGGTCTGAACCACATGGACCTGTGTTTAGAGCTTGCAGCAGGCCAGGAACAATGTACTTGAATGAACCTTGTCTTAATCTAGTACTGGTTGAGGTTCAGCAAGAGGATAGAGGCGTATGGCTTCAAGTCCTATTGAATAATGATAAAATGTTTGCGGGGGGTATCTGGCTCCCACCACCCTTGTCCTGAATGAGGCTCAAGGTGTGATCCGCCTTGCAGGAGGGCATTCTCCAGCCAGGGGCTGCCGTCAGGTGTCCTTGCTTGACCGTTCACGAGTGTGGGAGACAGTAGGGCACAGGCATGAAGCACACGGGCTCTGCAGTCACGCAGACCTGTGTCCAAACCCTGCTTCCCCCACACAGTACTTGTGAGACTTTGGACAAACTACTTCGCCTCTCCTAACCTCAGTTTTCTCATCTGTAAAGTGAGTGTAATAATGGTATCTACTTTGTGAAGATTAAATGGGATCATCTTTCTACTTTCTACAGATCAAATGGGATAATGGCTTTCAAGCTCAGTGCCTGGCACATAGTAAATTCTCCCAAAACAGCAGCTCTTATTACTTGTAGTAGTAATATTATTCTGGCTCAGACAGTTCAGATACTTAGGCCTTTGACCCTAAGTATCCAGCATCTTGGTGGTATTCATACTGGCTATTTATAAAGAACTAGCAGATAGGATACTATTCTTGTTGCCTGTTTTTCATTTATTTAATTATAGTCATTTAAGTGTTGTCTCAAAAATGAGTTGCTGTTGTTTTCATTGCAGACAGTTGCATCTATAAAAAGGTTTGCCCCTTTAATGGTGGCTCTTTTTTGGTTCAACCCTCTGCGTCAGATTTCCAGTTTTGTTGGAACCAGGCTCCCTGTGCAATTGGTAAGAAAAATCTTTATCATAATGCTTTCCCCCTTCATAGATATGTCTGAACTGTTGTAAGCAAATCCTATGCAAGCAAATCACTGGCTTACTGCGAAATTGCCATAAATTACATGCGTATGATTAGTATTCAGAGCGTTCTTTTTCTTTGTCATTTTTTTTCTTTTTGTTCCCCTTTTGGGACTATTGTCTTCTACTGTTCTTCCTAGTTTCTCTCAGTGCCTGAGCATGTATGCATTTGAGAGCAATTAAATGTCATTTTTCAGTACTTGGTTGTCGTTTCAGCACCTCAGTTCATTTCTGGGCCTCACTTTCCTTTTTCTAAAATTCAAGTGTACGGTCTCCAGCCTCAAAATGCTGGCTGACCTCAGGGAGAAGCACAGTGCTTTTAGCGCCTTTGGTATATGTTTCATAGAAACCCAGGTACCTGCCTGCCACTAAAATGTCAGGACGTGAGCAGTGATGCTTTGTGTTTGTGATTCAAGATCCACAACTGGCCATTGCGTTTTGGGAGTCAGATCAGAGCCAAGAATCTTCCAGTTCATTCTTTTGTCCTCACAATAAAACTATGTGTTAATAGGTCCATAGGACAGCATTTTCAGAGGAGGACAGAGGGACCGATCTAAGATCCTGGGAGGACCAGTCAGACTTGATGACAGATTAGATCTGGTAGACAGGAAAGGGAGGTTTTGAACCGTTACTGGAGGGGCTTGAAAGTCATGGCCAGAGGCATAGATGTGGTCAGCAGAGTCACCAGGAAAACCAGGAGACCAGATGAGCTCATCCACGGAAAGAGTGCAGAGAGAGCCAGTGCGAAGAAGGGAATGACACGAAGTGCCAAGAAGAAAGAGGTGTGCCACGGGGCAGCCAGGGCAGGCACAGCACCTGGAAGCCAGTGTGTCATTCAAATCATTTCAAGCAGAGGGGCCAGCCCTTAACAGATAACTCAGCAAACCCATTGATCCCGAGGGACACTGTGAGGGCCAGTGAGGAATAAGATGCAGCCCCTGCTCAGACGTGCAGCAGGAGGAGCACAGGGGAGGAGTGAGGAGCACTGAGGGCTCCTCCAGGGCTGGGCCTTGAAGAGCGACCAAAGGGAAGGGTCCCAGGCAGGATGGCCTGGGTCTGCAGGGAGAATGTCAGGCTGGTATCTGAACAACAGAAGGGACTCCCCACAGGACTTTGGCAAGTGAGCTGCCTCACTGGAAGATCAGGCAATGGGGTTTCCATAGGGGAAAATGGCAGCAAGCATGGTGACAGTGCACACCTCCTGGGAGGCGGAGTGTGGCAACCGAGGGGAGGCTATCTTGGGAGCCAAGGCTACCTTAGGATCAGGGCCACGTGCACATGTGAAGGAAGGAGAAAACAGCCAGAGGAATGAGAGATGGAAGTTTCTAGAGAAGTGAGCGTGACTATGAGACAGTCACAGCCCATCCGCAGCCACCAAGCTAGCAACTGGGAGGTGACACTCCTGTTCCCTTGCAGTCTGTGCTTTCCCGTATCTCCTGGCCTTCACCACCGACTCCATGGAGATCCGCCTGGTGGTGAACGGGAACCTGGTCCACACCGCAGTCGTGCCACAGCTGCAGCTCGTGGCCTCCAGGGTGAGTAGGACTGGGATGTTCTCTCTGAGCGGTTTGGCGGGCCCCAGCACTGTGGGATTTCAGGGGAGCACCGAAGCTGCCTCTTGTCACGTTAGGCGATGAAGACCTGTGTCAGACCAGCGCGAGATGGAAAGCCTGAAACCAGACTGATCTGTTGGGTTTTCGTGTGTGATTTCTGTGGGCTTTCAGAACACTCCTCGGCTTTGTTAATAGTCAGTCAGTGCTGGTGGCCGCTGGGGAGCACTTAGCTGAAAAGAAATATCCCTGATCGGAGACTGGGTCCGTTATTCATGTCACTGCTGCCCTGGAGGACAGTCCAAGTCTAGAAAAGTCAGAGCTTGCAATCTTTCTTCCTTTCCCACCCTCTGTCCTCAATTTGAATTCATAGCCTATGAAACATGGCTAATTGATTAATCCATGCCTCATAACCAAGAGCTAGGGCAAAACGGAGGGATGCAGGAACAAAGATGCCTTCCACGATGTCTTTTGTCACTGGCACATACTCTGGGGGTTCTTGTTCTAGTCCCCTCCCCTGAATCAGGCCCAGAAAGTCCTCCCCAGCCCTGCCAGACTGGGCTGGCTCCCCCGCTGTGTCCCCTGTTCCCTTCCCTGGTCCTGACATCCATCACATTTGGTGGTAGGTGACTGCTTATTTGTTCATCTTTGCTGCTGCCCTGATGGTTCTGTGAGAGCAGGGGCCATGCTGTCTTACTCACTATCATAGCACCAGTGGTGTGCTCAGTGCTTCAGTCCCCCAGTGCTCTGGAAAACGTGTGTGCACATATGTACACATATCATACATGCACATATACATACACATAATACATACATGCACATATACATATGTGTACATATGTGCATGTATGTATATGTGTGTACATTCATTGATTGTAAATAGCTTACAATTTACAAATAATAAATATACAATGCTGTTTATCATAAAAATCCACTTAGCCAACTGGTTCTTACAAAATGCTTTTGTTAATACTTGCTGAATTCATATATCCATAGCCAGTCTACAGTTGCATGTCAACCATGATTTTACACTTGGAGTTATATCTCAATCCACACATTTTTTTCCAATTTTAATCTGATAGGTAATCTGCTATAAAACTATTTTTCAACCTCATACAACTTATAGTCATTAAACTGAAACTTCTTTCAGCTTCTGTACCAGACTAAACACACTTCCACATCTCTTGTTCATTACTAGTACTTTCTGCATCACTGTAAGTATAGACAATCAACAAAACAACAAATCAAAGTGGAACTGATAGTCCTCGCTGGATTCCATGGTGTAAAGAGTCCCTCCATGATTGATTTCAAGCTCCCAGGGAGACGCCACTGCAGGTGGTGTTGGGGAGATGTGCGTTATCCCCCATGGTGCAGTATCTCTCCCCCAAGCCTCACAGACACTGTTGGTGTCAATAACTTCAGAGCAGATGTAATAGTAAGCACAGTCAAATAATTAGGAATGGTTGAATTTGGATATTTAGGGCCTTTGTTTATTTAGGTTTGCATAATTTTATTTCTAATCATGTGTGTTTAACAGCCAGTTTGCAAAATTCCTGAAAATTGGATCTCATAAATCACATCCAGCACACCACTGCTGTCAGCACCAGCGCCAGCGCATCATGGGTGTGCCTGAGTATCTGCTGGATCAGTGAATGAATAATCCGTTTCCCCATCTGCCAAATGGGCCTAACCGAATCCCTAAGATCTTTCCCATTCTAACACTCCAGGTGCCTGAGATCCCTGTTAGGGAAGTGTGTGCTGTGTTTGTGATTGCAGAAGATGTGTGGTGGAACATTGACTATTTTGTATTGTGGATCAACAAATAGATGAGGAAAAGTGGCGGGGAGTGGAATACTCAGGAAAAGTGTAACTAGCCACGCTGGGCTTTTCTCCGGAAGGCTCCCTCCATCCCTCGCCCCGGCATCCCGCATTTCTCTGCATGCTCCAAGGATGGGGACCAGTTGGAGGGTTTGCAGTGATGGCAGGAGGGCCACTGGATGCAAGGCCTAGAACACCAGGCAGCCCGGTAATGCTCTCTCTTTCTTTCTAGTCGGATATATACTTCACAGCAACTGCAGCTGTGAATGAGGTCTCATCTGGAGGCAGCTCCAAGGGGGCCAGTGCCGGCAATTCTCCTCAGACACCCCCGGGCCGAGATACTCCAGTATTTCCTTCTTCCCTGGGGGAAGGTGAAGTCCAAGTTTTACTGTTTGATTAATATTTGTAATCCACTCTAATTTCTCTAGTTCATTGTCTAATATCTACATGTGATAACTGCTTAAAGAAGTTACTATGTAAAGCCATTAAAAAAAGAAACGGGCCAAGTGTGGTGGCTCACACCTATAATCCCAGCACTTTGGGAAGCCGAGGCAGGCGGATCACCTGAGGCCAGGAGTTCAAGACCAGCCTGACCAACATGGTGAAACCCCATCTCTACTAAAAATACAAAAATTAGCCAGGTGTGGTGGCACGCACCTGTAATCCCAACTACTTAGGAGGCTGAAGCAGGAGAATCGCTTCAACCTGGGAGGTGGAGGTTGTCGTGAGCCGAGATCGTGCCATTGCACTCCAGCCTGGGCAACAGAGCGAGACTCTGTTTTAAAAAAAGGAAAGAAAAGAAAAGAAATCTTGCAATCTGAATACATTGGTTGTGTTCTTAAGAAACCTTGTGATAACAATGAAACTCCATTGTAAAAATAAATAAATAAACAAACAAACTGGGCTAGGCATTGTGGCTCACACGTGTAATCCCAGCACTTTGGTGGGCTGAGGCAGATGGATCGCTTGAGCCCAGGAGTTTAAGACTAGCTGGGCAACATGGCAAAACCCTGTCTTTAAAAAAAAGGCCGGGCGCGGTGGCTCAAGCCTGTAATCCCAGCACTTTGGGAGGCCGAGGCAGGCGGATCACAAGGTCAGGAGATCGAGACCATCCTGGCTAACACAGTGAAACCCCATCTCTACTAAAAAAAATACAAAAAACTAGCCGGGCGTGGTGGCGGCGCCTGTAGTCCCAGCTACTCGGGAGGCTGAGGCAGGAGAATGGCGTGAACCCGGGGGGCGGAGCTTGCAGTGAGCCGATATCGCGCCACTGCACTCCAGCCTGGGGCACAGTGCAAGACTCCGTCTCAAAAAAAAAAAAAAAAAAAAAAATACAAAAACTAGCTGGGCGTGGTAACATGTGCCTGTAGTCCCAGCTACTTGGGAGGCTGAGGTGGGAGGATCACCTGAGCACTGGAGGTCAAGGCCGCATTGAGCCGGGATTGCACCTCTGCACTCTGGCCTGGGCAACAGAGTGAGACCCTGTCTCTACAAAAACTAAAATTAAATTAGCTGGCTGTCGTGGCATGCACCTGTGGTCCCAGCTACTCAGGAGGCTGAGGTGGGAGGTTCACTTGAGCCTGGGAGGTCAAGGCTGCAGTAAGTCATGATTGCATCATTGCACTCCAGCCTGAGCAACAGAACCAGACCTTCTCTCAAAAAAAAAAAAAAAAAAAAAAAAAAGTTTCAGCGGGAAGAAGGGAGTTAAAGGCTATAGAATTTCCAACTTGCAACAGCAGTTATTTTTCCTTCAGGGCTGTTAACAGTAGTGGGTTTTGATAGCTAAAAGAATAGAGTCATCAAGCCTAGACATTCCTTAGCACTTGCAGTCTTTCACTCTATCTGGCTTTGCCTGCAAACCCCAGAGGCCTCTGCTGTGGTTACCTCATTGCTTTGAACACAGCGCTTTTCATAAATTCTTACCACATCACTCGCCTTTACTGCACACAGTTAAGAGAAAGCACAGAATTCCCCAAGCAGGGCAGCTTTTTGCTTTTCTTCTCTAGTCTTTTTTCCTGTGCAGTCACGAGTGCATTTTACCTAATTTACACATGAAAATGCTTTAGAAAATGCAGAGCCATCAGGCACCCTCAAATTAGTGCTCTCGGCCAGCCCTCCCAGTGGGACATTACAGATCAGTGTGTGACATAAAGTCTTCCTTCATGCTATGTTAAGGAACAAGAGATTACTCTCTTGTAAATAATATGAACTTTTCTTAAAGTTCTGATGTTCTTTTTGAAATCACATTTCAGGTGAAATTCAATCAAAAAATCTGTACAAGATTCCACTTAGAAACCTCGTGGGCAGAAGCATCGAGCGACCTCTGAAGTCGCCCTTAGTCTCCAAGGTCATCACCCCACCCACTCCCATCAGTGTGGGCCTCGCTGCCATTCCTGTCACGCACTCCTTGTCCCTGTCTCGCATGGAGATCAAAGAAATAGCAAGCAGGACCCGCAGGGAACTACTGGGTAATGGCTCTCAATCCTGGTTTCCACTGTCTGTGAACAGACCAGCTGGTTTTATCTTTGGATATGAATTGCCCTCAAAAACAATGAGTTTAAAAGGAAACTTTCCTTTTAAGAAGGGATTTATAAGTAAGTTCTAATACATCTATACCAAGGAATACACTATAGTGTAGCCACCAACAGTGATGTTGTTGATCTGTATTTATTGGTATGGAAAGCTGCCCAAGCCATGTGAAGGGGGGAAATGGGCAGTGTATAAAACACTGTGTCTAGTCTGATACCATTTTTAAAAATAAAAGTACCAATCTATATGTGATTTCCTAGAAAGGTGTCTAGAAGGATTTCTATCCTACAGTCCTCAGGCAACATTTTATGTTGGTATATCCCAAAGTGGAAATGTACCATGTTTTTACACGTGTGTGTTCAGTTCCCTTATTACTTCTCCCAGCCCTAGACAGTGGGGGCAGGTCTGTGGATGGAACAGATGCAAGATACGTGTTGAGCTCTTTTCTCTCAGTATAAATATGGCACTGGGTTCACACCTGTTATCCCAGCATTTTGGGAGAGGCTGAGGCAGGAGATCACTTGAGTTCAGGAGTTCAAGACCAGCCTGGGTAAAATGGTGAAACCCCATCTCTACAAAAAATACAAAAAAATTAGTCAGCTATAGTGACATGTGCCTATAGTCCCAGCTACTCAAGAAGCTGAGGCAAGAGAATCAATTGAGTCCAGGAGGTCAAGGCTACAGGGAGCCATGGTGACACCACTGCACTCCAGCCTGGGTGACAGAGAGACACCCTGTCTTTAAAAAAAAAAAAAAAAGATGAGAGGCCAAACCAGAGAAACATAAAGCCCCTGATAAGTGTGAAAAGGTTAGACTGTTAGAAACCTTTTTGTTCAGATTTGTGGAAACAAAATAAGGAAAAATGGAAGTGACGTGATAAACCAGTAAAAACTGGTTTAAAAACTTAGATTGGGATCTGTGTGACAGGTGGCCTGAGCACATCCCTGCTCTGCAGTAGTATTCCCTGAACAACTGGAGGAGGGGATTCAGGCCACCTGACAGGGCAGGCCTTGACACTAACAAAGTCCATTGGTTTTTCAAGTTGGTGCCTTCCACTGTGTTTTTAAAATAAATGTATTACTATTTTTAACACAGTCTTCCATATCAAAGCTTGATCTGCCCACCACTGTTTACAAACCACTGAGCTTTTGCAAAACGGAACCTCTGAATTGGAGAATTACAGGGTTATCAGCGGTAGGACTGTAGATGATCTCTCCTCATTAGGCTCTTTGAGTCTCTAATTTTTTTGCAATGTGTGTATACTTTATAATCAGAAAATAAAAACCTTCTACCAACAAGAAAACCAATAATTTGAAAATATATATTCTATCATCTTTCTTCCTGACTCTAGCACAACAATGCACCAGTTCCCAACCAAGAAAAAATAAGGGTCTTTTCTGTCTCCGTGGCAGCCCTGTGGTAGTGACCCTCTGACCTATGATTCTCAATCCAGGCCTCTCGGATGAAGGTGGACCCAAGTCAGAAGGAGCGCCAAAGGCCAAATCAAAACCCCGGAAGCGGTTAGAAGAAAGCCAAGGAGGCCCCAAGCCAGGGGCAGTGAGGTCATCTAGCAGTGACAGGTAAAGAGATGGAGAGGCCCCTGCTCAGGGTGGTGGACCTGTGAGTCACAGCACTGCCCAGGAGGCCCCTTCTGTGGATTGATGATGCCACTAGTGGCCCCTTTGGCAGCTACAGCAGAGGGCCAGCAGTCTGCTCCTCTCTGAGGGTACCTAGACCCTCAGGCCTGCCAGGGAGGGATCTAGACAAATGGGCACACATACCAGCAGTCAAATGCTCATTCAAATATATTAAGACCAGACCGGGCACAGTGGCTCATGCCTTTAATCCCAGCACTTTAGGAGGCCGAGGCGGGCAGATCACCCGAGGTCAGGAGTTCGAGACTAGGCTGGCCAACACAGTGAAACCCCGTCTCTACTAAAAATACAAAAATTAGCCAGGCGTGGTGGCACATCCCTGTGGTCCCAGCTACTTGGGAGGTTGAGGCAGAAGAATCGCTTCAACGTGAGAGGCGGAGGCTGCAGTCAGCCAAGATCATGCTACTGCACTCCAGCCTGGGCAACAGAGCAAGACTCCATATATATATATATATATATATATATATATATATGTATATATGTATATATTTATATTATATATATATATTTATATTTTATATATATATATATGGAGAGAGAGAGACTTTTTCCTCACCAGATCGACAGAGAGTTTTTAAAATAAAAATGCCTGCTAGGCATGGTGGCTTATGCCTGTAATCCCAACACTTTGGGAGGCTGAGAAGGGAAGGTCACTTGAGCCCAAGAGTTCAATCCCAGCCTGGGCAACACGGCAAGACCCATCTCTACAAAAAAAAAAAAAATTAGCTGGATCTGGTGGCGTGTGCCTGTAGTCCCAGTTACTTGGGAGGCTAAGGTGGGAAGATCACCTCCTTCTGGGAGGTCAAGGCTGCCGTGAGCCATGATCACACCACTGCACTCCAGCCTGGGTAACAGAGCAAGACCCCGTCTCAAAAAAAAAAAAAAAAAAAAAAACAGTAAGACTGCAGGGAAATAGGTGCTCTCTATGCAGGAATGCAGTACTAGTAGCACATACACAGTCCAGCCTATCTGAATGCCAGCTCAGCATCACATGTCAATGAATAGTAGTTAAGTCACACTGATTTGTCCTATAAGATCTCTGTTGTCCTTCAAGCAACATCACACATGCTTCAGTGTGGAGAGTGATAAGTTCGGATGTCCAAGCTTCATTCATTCGCTCAACATACATTCTTGGAGCACCCAAGAATGTGTTAAGATATGGAAAGGACTAAGCCCCCATCTGTGCCTTCAAGGGGTTCCCAGGCCAGTGGCAAAGACCGACAAGGGTCCAGACAATTACTGCGTTCCAGCATGGCAGGTGATGTGTAACAAGGGTTGCCATCCAGCCCACACCTGGGGCAGGGAGGGTCTCAAACATCAGGGGAGGCTGAGCCTCCTCTCATAAGTCATAACCTGACAAGGCCCCTGCCCTCAGGGACTTTGCATTCTAGTGTGGGAAAACAGACAGCAAGCCTGTAAACAAGTATCAAATAAAATCATTTCAAATAGTGACAAGTGCTATAAAGAAATGAAAAGGAAGTGACAGCGCTGGCAGGTAGAAGGTCTACTCTGAGAGAGAGTTCAAGGAAAGCTTTTTGAGGAAGTAGCATTGGGCTGGGCTTGGATTGAATGGTAAGAAGCTAGGGGAACAGCCCTTCTGACAGCAGCCACCTCAGGGCAAGGGCCCTGCAGCAGGCCTAGCATGGCCAGTTAAAAGGCAGGAGGAAGAGTGGACAGACTTGAGCGTAGAGAACGGAGCCAGGAACCGTGTGAGGCCGAGAGTGGGCAGCAGCTGAGCCACGTGGGCATTTGCAGGCCAATGAGTATTTGTGAAATGCATTAACTCCCTGAGAAGTGGAAACCAATTTTGGTCAAATTAATATGCAGCTATTGAGAAGAGTCCTGAGAAGCTGCGGGAAATAGAGGGAGTCGGGGTGCCCTGGAAGGCTGGAGGGGTCACAGGCCCAGTCCCGGAACCTTGGTTATGAGTTTCAGCCTGATCCTCTGGCCCTGGGCACCCATGGGAGGGTTTTAGGCAGGGTGACATTATCTAGATTTGCACTTTAGAAAGGTAGGTAAATAATGCCTCACAAACACCTTCCATGTGTCACACACTCGGCCTTTAATCCTCACAACCCCCTGAGGTGACGGGGGTGGCATTCCAGCACTTCCCCACCTCTACCACATAACAGTGAGGGTTTGGGGAGCCAGGCTTATGAGCTCAGATGAACAGGAAATTGCCAGAAAAAAATGGTCCCAGTTCCGCAATACTCCCACGGATCCTCTTACAGTGACTTGTCTCTTCTAGGATCCCATCAGGCTCCTTGGAAAGTGCTTCTACTTCCGAAGCCAACCCTGAGGGGCACTCAGCCAGCTCTGACCAGGACCCTGTTGCAGACAGAGAGGGCAGCCCGGTCTCCAGCAGCAGCCCCTTCCAGCTCACGGCTTTCTCCGATGAAGACATTATTGACTTGAAGTAACAGAGTTCAAATCTCATTTGCCATCTTTAGTTTTCTTATGGAGATTTATACTCTTTAAACAGTTCTGCTGTCATTTCTCAACAAAATGTGGCTTTTAGCCTGTCAGTGATCTGTTGGACCAAACCTTCTGCACACGCGGCCAGTTCCCTCTCCAATGTCCGGTGCCATCTTTCCTGACCTTTGTTTCTTTCTCTTCAGGAACCATCAGTCCCCTTGTAATAAAGGTGGTAGATTTCATTGAGGTTTTAGATTGAAACTTTGAATAAATCAAAAATATTCATTCTTATTTACTGCAACCTTCTCATATTTTATATACTTAGATGGAAAATTTTTTCGTTAGAGTTTTGATTTATGTCACATAATGTGTTTCTTTTATAAAGAAAAGTCATTGCTTTTTAACTTTATTATAAGTAAGTTTTCTTTCTGCACCTTTGGCCCCAGTTGCTGTTTCAGTTCACTGTGATTGGAACCAGCTGCATTCCTGCCTGTAGACTTTTGAGAAAAGCTGAATAGTTAGATCCTCCTTCTTCCCTGCATCTCATGAAAAATATTAAGGCATAGGAGCTTGTCAAAAGTCTTCAGATTATTTTGTGTGGTTTTATTGTTACTCTGCAATAATGTAACAAGAGAACAGCTACTCCTTGTGGTTAAAAGTATTCTCATTGTAATCCCAGTGCTTTGGGAGGCCAAGGTGGAAGGATCCCTTGAGCCCAGGAGTTCAAGGCTGCAGTGAGCTAAGATCGCACCACTGTACTCCTGCCTGGGCAACAGAGGGAGACCCTGTCTCAAAAAAAAAAAAAAAAAAAAAAAAAAAAGAAAGCATTCTCAAACCCCTCCTTCTTGTTGAGTCCCCTTCACTCTTTCACATAAATGATATGAAGATAATAATTTGGTTTATCTGCCTTTCCTGGCTCCTTCTCCAGTGTGAGCAGAAAGAAATGTGGACTGGGCCAAGTGCAAAAGAAAGTGAAATCTCAGCCACCTACCCAAGGGGAAATCCGGTTTCATTAGCATTGTTTGCAAATATTTTAATCTGTGTGAAGAAGGTATTTTACTTTGGCTTTATTCTAGCCATTTCAATTTTATTCTATCTTTTCCTGCTTACATTATTCCTGTTACCTACCCCGTTAAAGCAGCTCAGAAGAGTTCTTCTGCAGGCCTTTTTTTTTTTTTTTTTTAGACAGATTCTCACTCTATTGCCCAGGCTGGAGTACAATGGCACAACCTCGGTTCACTGCAACCTCCACCTCCCAGGTTCAAGCGATTCTCCTGCCTCAGCCTCCTGAGTAGCTGGGATTACAGGTGCGCACCACCACGCCTAGCTAATTTTTGTATTTTGGTAGAGATGGGTTTTCACCATGTTGGCCAGGCTGGTCTTGAATTCCTGACCTCGTGATCCGCCTTCCTTGGCCTCCCAAAGTGCTGGGATTACAGGTGTGAGCCACCACGCCCGACCAGCAGGCCTTCTTTGTGAGTGTGGAGAACTGAGTTTGACAGGACCTTGATCTGACAGATTTTATAGAAGTTTGGATCGTACCTCCTAGTGGGCCTTGCACACTGTGGGGAGAGCTCCCCTGTCTGTCTTTTGTACAAACAGATCAGCATGATAGCCCAAGCAGAAGGTTGCTTGGTTAATCTTTGGCAGAAGGCAAGAGGCAAGAGTAGTGAAGCCAGTGGTTTTTAGGTATACCCAGATGGGGCTGTTTATAGCCACACGTGTCTGCTCATATTCTTTGCAGCAGTTAGCATGCCCGTTCTTCCTCTGTGTTTTTTATGCCCTTTTCCTATATAGGGGGGAAAAAACACTGTGTCTCAACCCCACCAACAGTTTAATGAATTATGTTTTATTATGCTTCCTTTTCAAATAAGGAAACAGGCTCAAAAAGGGGCAATGGTTTGAATCTGCAAGTTCTTTGACTGCAGAGCCCTTGCTTTCCCCATGTCTGCCATGCAGAGCCAGGCTAAGTGCCTTGTGTCAGCTGGATCTGGCTGGTGTTTTTCATGTTCAACTAATTTGTAAGCTTTATGAGCTTGTATCTGTGTTTTTCCTTTTTTTTTTTTCCTGAAGTTTCTTGCTTCACAGTGTAGCATAAAAAAATCCAAGGACTATTTTAGAGCATTCTTCCAAATCAGCAGCATTAGAGCTACCCACAATTTGACAAGAGTCACAGGTCTGAGGAGGGATGTAGCGAGGGCAAGAGGTGGACCGTACTGATCAGGCTGATAGTGCTTTGCCTATGAAAAGGGGGCAAGAGGCTGCTCTGGCAACATTATTTGTTTACAAAGGCCAATAAGTGAGTTCTGCACACTCACGGGAAGGGAAGCCATCGGCCACAGGGTAAGGAGCACCGTGCCTGCACAGTCCTTTCTGTGTACCTGACTGGCTGAGTCACACAGAAAATCATCTAAGTGCAGTGTCTGCCCAGGGAGTTTGAGGCACTAATCCACTCTGCAAACACCAAGTGCCTCCTCTCCAGAGGAGGTCATGTCCATTGGGGAAGGACAGAAGTAAACAGGGGTCACAAAGCAGTGATAAATGCTGTGATAAGAATACACATCTAGTGCTTGAGTTATTCTTATCACAGCATTTATCACTGCTTTGTGTTATCAAGCACTTGAGTTATCAAGCACTAGATGCTGTGGGAGTACAGAAGGGCAGTTGCCTAAGTCTTTAAAGATAGTCTTGTGGTCAGGATTGAAAAATGTTGGTTGCTAGAACCATCAGGTGACTGCAGTATGTCAAATGACTATCTTCATCATACCGGTTAGCCTTTGAGTGCTTCATATGTCTTATATACATTACCTTGCTTCACAACTCTCCTGGAAGATAATGGTCATCCCCACTTAGAGATGAGGAAACACAAGGCCCAGAGAGGGATTACAAGCCAAGCCTCTTACTCCCATGCCCTGGCTCTTTCCAGAATTACACCAGCATTCCACCGCAGCTGCCTGCAACCAGAGTGTTGGGTATGAATTGGGTACAACTGGTGAGATCCAACAGTGCCTCATCATTCGACTTGGGTGCACACGGGGAGAAGGCGGCATTAAAATCTACAGGGAACTCAAAATTCGGAGACAGGTAGATGAAGATTCAAGAGTCAGGACTCGCTGTGAAGTGAGTGACACTTAAGAGGGGGAGTGAAGCCCAGATCTGTCACACATAGGGCGTGGGGTACCCCGCCTACCACTGGTCCTCAGCACCTGGAGACCCGAGCCTTCAGCAATCTGGGAAGCATGAAGATGGGTTTCGGTGCACAGGGCCACGCTTCCCCGCCAGCAGCCCAGCGGGAGCGTATGACCAGTCTTGGCGTCCGAGAGGAGAGGGAGGCGGCCCAGGACAGTCTGCTTAGAGGCTCTCTCCCCTGCAGAGCTGGGCCCAGGCAGAGGTCAGATACCTCCAATACAAGCCCTAGGGCAGCGATTAACGCGGGGCAGGAACTGCAAACCGGACCGGGCAGGACACTTGCAGCTTCTCAGAGTTGGGGGCGGGAAGTCTCGGGCTGAGGCCCACGTGCTCCGCCTTCGCCCCGCCCCTACCCTCATTGGTTGAAGCTAGATTGAGAGGCGGTGCCAGAAAAAAAAACTCCTCCCTCCAACCTCATTGGCCAGCTCAGTTCTGAGGCAGCTCTCTGGCCCCGTTTACGGGCTCCCACTACAATCCAATTGGGTGATTGTGTGCTCCCAGACGGAAACTCCGCCCACCTGTACCTAGGGCCTTTCCGTCCTAGGGGCGGTTCCAGCGGGCTTTGCTAATCAGCGTTATGCTGCCATTGGTCTACTTTAATATGAGGGCGGGTCCTAGCGCATTCGCTAATCCCGCCTTGCATTCCTATTGGCTGCTTCTGCTCTGCGATTCCGATCCCGCCCAGCACCGCCCCCCGCCCCCCGCCGCCCATTGGCTGCGAGAGGCCGGTGCCGGCCGCCCTCGCGGGGCCGGTGGCCGTTCAGGCGCCGGAGCTGGCCGATCGGCGTTGGCAGCGGACATGACGCCCGAGGACCCAGAGGAAACCCAGCCGCTTCTGGGGCCGCCTGGCGGCAGGTGAGCCCCGGGGAACCCGGCCCGGACGCGGCCTCGCCCTCCCGCCCCTCCGCGTCCGCTCCGCTCACCCTCGGTCCTGTCACCGCAGCGCGCCCCGCAGCCGCCGCGTCTTCCTCGCCGCCTTCGCCGCTGCCCTGGGCCCACTCAGCTTCGGCTTCGCGCTGGGCTACAGCTCCCCGGCCATCCCGAGTCTGCAGCGCGCCGCGCCCCCAGCCCCGCACCTGGACGACGCTGCCGCCTCCTGGTTCGGGGTGAGGCCCCGGACTCGTCCCTCCAGCCCTGGGACCCCGCGCCCTCCTCTCGGGACAGGCATCGGGCCCCTCCGCCACCGCCCTTCCCCAGGAGACGGGCATCGGGCCTTTCGGGACGGGCATCGAGTTCCTTGGTCCCCCACCCTTCCCCTCGGGACAAGCGCCGGACCCCTCAGCCCCCCACCCCTCCCCTCGGGACGGGCGCTGGGCCCCGGCTCATTTGCCTGGAGTCGCCCCCTTTCCTCTGATCCCGCAGGGCGTGGGCAGAGGGAGGGATGGGCTGCGGCTTCGGCGCCCCCTCCTCAGCCGCCGCCCGCCCCCAGGCCATCGTGACCCTGGGTGCTGCGGCAGGGGGAGTGCTGGGCGGCTGGCTGGTGGACCGCGCCGGGCGCAAGCTGAGCCTCCTGCTGTGCTCCGTGCCCTTCGTGGCCGGCTTTGCCGTCATCACCGCGGCCCAAGACCTGTGGATGCTGCTGGGGGGCCGCCTCCTCACCGGCCTGGCCTGCGGTGTTGCCTCCCTAGTGGCCCCGGTGAGTGTCCCGTCTCGCGAGTGTCCTGTCTCGCGCGGCCTGAGACCGAGGAGGAGTGGACAAACCGCTCCTCAGTCCTGGGGGCGCGGCTTCCCCTGGCGGGACCTTATAGGTGCCAGGCTTGAAGTCCCTGCGTTATCTCGCGGTTCCTCCCGTCCACCCTGGGAAGGATCCTGCTGTTCTCTCCATTTTACACTGAAGTCATGACATGCAGTCTCGGAAAGGTGAAGTCCTTTGCCCAGGCAGGGTCCACAGCTAGTCAGAGGGGAAGCAGTTGCTGGAACCCAGGATTATCCCACTTAGCCGTGCCCGTCTTTTGCTCTGCAGACCTGCGAATGATCCATAGGAGCCCCCACTCCCAACATTATGGTTTTCATCTCTGGCTTCGGGTCAATGACTGCAATTAGCAGGAAGTTCCCGTCCTGGTTTCTCCTGGGGCAAAGGCTGCTGGTCTGTGTTCCCCTTTCCTTGTCACAGGCCAGCCCCTCTGGCTTCCCCATCTTCCCCCTTTCCCCCTCCTGACCCAGGCTGCCCACTTGGGAGCCCCGAACATCTGGGTCAAATCCTGGTTCTACCACTGACCTGAGCCGTGTCTGCCTGGGCCTCAGTTTCCTTCCCTGGAAAACAGGGATTATGGCATTAGTCCCTGAGGTAGTGGTCAGGATTCAGTGGGGCTTTGGGTAGACAGCCCCTGGCATGGCTTATGGAGGACTGGACCCTGACAGCTTGGTGACCCATGAACTGCCCCCAGCCATGGGCGTGGACAATCTCTCACCCAAGTGAGGTTGAAAGCAGCCACTCAGGGCCCTCCCTGGGTGCTCATTTCACCAGCATTTGCTAACTGGCAGCAGCAGCTGGACCAGAAGAGGGTGGGGAAGAAGCTGGACCTTTTATGTCTGTGGCTTTTTTAACTGGGCAGAAACACACCTGTGTTAGGGCTTAAGCTATGGAATAACCTTAGATGCATGGTGAGGGCCTGGTGGCCTGTGGACCCAGGAGGGAGCCGTGCCTAGTGACTGAGGCAGAGAGTTCGTGCTTCTGGTCCAAGGCCACCACTCAAAGCGTGGGCCCTGGGCTAGGATCCTGGGTGGGCACACATGGAGCTGGTTAGCAAGGTGGAATTTTTTGCCTGCCCAGACCTACTGCATCGGAATCTACATTTTATCCAGGGTGTCTGTGCCCATTAAACGAAGGCTTGAGAAGCTCTGTGCCCACTGCCTCGCCATCATATGCAGCCCTCTCTGTTACCTTTAATCCCCTTTAAACACCTGCTGCAGACCTTTCAGTGGTGAGGACCTGGGGATGGCTCCGCTCACCTGGGCAGGTTCCACTAAGGGGCCTCGGGACCTGCCATAACCCCCTGCAAGGACTTTCCTCAGCTCTGAATGGCTGAGACCTTTCCGTTTTAAGAACTCTTGGAGCCTGAGTAAAGCCTCATCTTTTTTTTTTTTTTTTTTAATTTTTAAAATTTTTAAAATTTTTTTAAATGTTTATTTATTTGTTTATTTTTAAGACGGAGTTTCGCTCTTGTTGCCCAGGCTGGAGTGCAATGGTGAGATCTTGGCTCACCGCAACCTCCACCTCCCGGGTTCAAGTGACTCTCCTCCTTCAGCCTCCTGAGTAACTGGGATTACAGACGCGTGCCACCAGGCCCAGCTAATTTTGTATTTTTAGTAGAGATGGGGTTTCTCCCTGTTGGTCAGGCCGGTCTCGATCTCCCGACCTCTGGTGATCTGCCCGCCTCAGCCTCCCAAAGTGCTGGGATTGCAGGCGTGAGCCACTGCACCCAGCCCTAAATCCTCATCTTGTTGCTGGCAGGTCTACATCTCTGAAATCGCCTACCCAGCAGTCCGGGGCTTGCTAGGCTCTTGTGTGCAGCTGATGGTCGTCGTCGGCATCCTCCTGGCCTACCTGGCAGGTATAGTTGTCATTATCTCTTGCTTCCTGTTTGTGGTCATGTGGCCATTTTACAGATGTGTAAACAGAGGTTCAGAGAGATCAAGGGACTTGTCTGAGGTCACACAGCCAGTGCCCAACATGCCAGGCTCCAGATCACCTTCCTGGGACCTTGGGATAGGTGAGTCTTTTTTTTTTTTTTTTTTTTTTTTTTTTGAGACAGAGTCTCGCTGTCACCCAGGCTGGAGTGCAGTGGCGGCTCACTGCAACCTCCGCCTCCTAGGTTCAAGCGATTCTCCTGTCTCAGCTTCCCAAGTAGGTGGGACTACAGGTGCGTGCCACTACACCCAGCTAATTTTTTGTATTTTTGGTAGAAACGGAGTTTCACTGTATTAGCCAGGATGGTCTTGATCTCCTGACCTCGTGATCCGCCCGCCTCAGCTTCCCAAAGTTCTGGGATTTCAGGTGTGAGCCACTGCGCCCGGCCGATAGGTGTGTCTTATGACTGAGTTCCAAGGAGAGCTGGAGAAGGTGATATCCTCATCTTTCCTGAAGCCTCCTCTAGGGCTGTGGGAAGGGCTGACTGGTTAGGTCAGTACCTTACTGTGCAGTGATAAACCAGAGGGCTCCAGAAGTGGGTGGGTCCCTGTAAAAATCTTCAGCCCAGGCATCTGAAGGGCTGAGCGAGTCCCCGAGAATGTCAGTGCTGGATTCACCATGTTGACAAGTTGCAATGTGAAGGAGGCCAGGTCCTGGTGACCCCGAGGGGCAAAGCTGGGCCAGCATGAAGAAGCTTCAGGAGGCCCGTGTGTTTTCATTAGAAAGAGGCCAGGCTTTAGAGGCCAGACCCAGTGGCTCATGCCTGTAATCCCAGCACTTTGGGGGACCGAGGCGGGTGGATCTCTTGAGGTCAGGAGTTCGAGATCAGCCTGGCCAATATGGGGAAACCCCATCTCTATTAAAAATACAAAAATTAGCAGGGCGTGATGGTGGGCACCTGTAATCCCAGCTACCTGAGGGGCTGAGGCACAAGAATTGCTTGAACCCGGGAGGCTGAGGTTTCAGTGAGCTGAGATCATGCCACTGCACTCCAGTGTGGGTGACACAGTGAGACGCTGTCTAAAAAAAAAAAAGAAAAGGCCAGGCGCGGTGGCTCAAGCCTGTAATCCCAGCACTTTGGGAGGCCGAGACGGGCGGATCACGAGGTCAGGAGATCAAGACCATCCTGGCTAACACGGTGAAACCCCGTCTCTACTAAAAAATACAAAAAACTGGCCGGGCGAGGTGGCGGGCGCCTGTAGTCCCAGCTACTCAGGAGGCTGAGGTAGGAGAATGGCATAAACCCGGGAGGCGGAGCTTGCAGTGAGCTGAGATCCGGCCACTGCACTCCAGCCTGGGCGACAGAGCCAGACTCAGTCTCAGAAAAAAAAAAAAAGAAAAAACGAGGGCAGGCTTCAAATCTGACCATCCTGGGTTTGGGGATAGCCTCTCCTATGTGCTGTGTGACCTTGGCCAAGTCACACCACCTCTGGAAGCCTCAGTTTCTCTGTCCTGAAATGGGCATAACCTCACCTAGTCCAGCACCTGTCCATTAAATTAAGTGACACAAGAAAAGTGCCTAACAGTGGGTTCCAAATGAGAACTGTCAAGGAATGACTTGAGAACCATGGGGATCATCGGGGTAGGAGGCCTTGGACGCCTGACGGGCTATGGCCTGGCCCAGGGCACAAGCCATCTGCATCTTCAGGGCGGATGATGATACACAGGTCTTTCGTCTTTCATTTTTACCCACTTAACTACCCTAACTAATTCAGAATCCTGCCAGCGATCTGGCTACCTTGGGAGACCTGAGTAAACCAAAGTCCCCACTGTGTGCAGGCGTTGACATTCATCATTTTGGGGACAGGTACTGGGTGTCCACCCACCCGTGGCACTAACTTCAGCTCATCTGAATATGTGCTTGTTGCTTCTCCTCCCTTTCCCGATCAGTTTCTGTTAGTTTTGATCCACCGGGGTGGGTGAACTCTTGTTAACTCCACAAAGTGACATGGTGGTGACACGTTTCTTCATATTGGGGCAATTGTGTTCCAACAACTAGACTTCATAGAACGATTATCTGCACCCCCAGCACAGAATTAAAATAGGGACATCATGGCTATCTTAGAGGGATTTTTCCACCGGGGACCAGGGATGGGTAAGCCTTGGGCTTAGGAAAAATTAATAATTAGAGCAACAATGCCCTAGACTCATTTATTCCAAGGCCCCTTTGTAAGAGAACCTTTTAACCTTTCTATAAAGCTAGGCAATGCTGCACTTGTGCTGTTCTTCAGACATCAAGACAGCAAAACCCTCTCACCTCTCTACTTTCATGCATACTTTGAATAGATAATGCACTCAAATGATTCAACACTCAAGGGCCAGCGTGGGGAATGTCCAGTGAAAAGCTTACTCCACCTCTGTCCCTTTCCTGTCTGGGGGAGCCTCCATTGCCTGTTTCTTGGTAGCCTTCAGAGAGTCTGTTCATACGAGGGATATGCATATTTATCCTCCCTCCCCCACCTCTTCTACAAATGGTGCCACATCATACCACGTGGACACGCAGCAAACACCTCATCCTTTGTTTTGTGGCTACATAAATGTTTCGCCGAACAGATGTAGCCTAGTAATGTCCGCGTTGTCATACCCACCATCGCTTCTACAGCTGGTGTGGTTGGCCCGTGCCATGTGCCTTCATGAACGGCTGTGATAATGGCAATGTCAGTAGGAAACACGAGGGCAGATGTGCAGAGGCAGCAAGGCCCCATCTTTGAAGCTGAGTCTTTGAGGCTGGCAAGGACCAGGCTGGCTCACCCTGGCTCTGATGCCAGCCTCCCCCCCAACAACCTCCCACAGGCTGGGTGCTGGAGTGGCGCTGGCTGGCTGTGCTGGGCTGCGCGCCCCCCTCCCTCATGCTGCTGCTCATGTGCGTCATGCCCGAGACCCCGCGCTTCCTGCTGACTCAGCACAGGCGCCAGGAGGCCATGGCCGCCCTGCGGTTCCTGTGGGGCTCTGAGCAGGGCTGGGAAGACCCCCCCATTGGGGCCGAGCAGGTGAGAGGCTGGGAGGCAGAGCTGACAGGAGTGGGACAGCAGTCACGGGAGGGTAGCACAACCTGTTCCCAAGGCCACACTTTGCGGGGACAGGGAGGTGCCTGTCCACCCTCCACCCTCAGCGAGGACAGTCCCAGTGCTTCCCGTCTTAGGCAGGCCAAGACAGCTGGAACCCCACGGAGCTGGGCCCTAGCCTCCGAAGTCACCAGCAAAGCCCGAGCCTTGACCCTTTCTGTCTCAGGAAGAGAACAGCCAGGCCTGGTGGGGGATACAGAGGCAGAGCTGAGGACTTGGATTTAACAAGGGAGTTGTAGGGCAGGGTAGAGGGTTGGGAGTCTGGGTTTTAGAGTCACCCAAGCATGAGTTTGAAGCTCCCACGCTGCCCCTCACCTAAGCCTTAGCTCTTCCCGTGACATGGGAGTCAGCATACGCTTCACAGTGGTGGGTGGGGCTCAGTGGGGGGAAGGAAGGCGGGGCTTAGTGAGGAGGGCGGGGTCAGTGAGGAGGATGGGTTCAGTGGGGAGGGGAGGGTCAGCGGGGAGGGCTGTAGGAGGTGCTCGGCTAGGGCCACGTCCAGACCTGAGGGAGGTGCTGGATGTGTTGGTCATGGCAGGGATGAGGACAGCAGCTTGCTCTTTGCCCAGATTACCTCTTTGTGGCTCCCCGCACCTATCAGGAAGTGCCCTGGGCAGGTGAGGGTCATCTCACCTGACACATGGGGAGGCTGGGACTTGTCTGCACACCTGAGGACAGAGGGGGCGCTGGGATGAGGAGCCGACACACTCCCCAAGCCTTAGGACAGTGGACCCATAGAGGGGGGCCCCTTGCGGGGGGGGAGAGAGAAATCCTGATGGCCAGTTTCCGTCAGAGCAGAGCTTTCACCCGGCCTTGCTGCGGCAGCCCGGCATCTACAAGCCCTTCATCATCGGCGTCTCCCTGATGGCCTTCCAGCAGCTGTCGGGGGTCAACGCCGTCATGTTCTACGCGGAGACCATTTTTGAAGAGGCCAAGTTCAAGGTAAAGGGGCCTCTGCCTGGCCTGCCCTGTCCAGCCCCCACAGAGATGGAGCTTCCTCCCTGAGCCCAGGGCCCAGCCACCCAGCACAGGCCTGGAGAGGGAGGGACCCAGCTCTCGGCTGACCCGCCTGACCTGCCTGGGCTCCATCTCCCCCAGGACAGCAGCCTGGCCTCGGTCGTCGTGGGTGTCATCCAGGTGCTGTTCACAGCTGTGGCGGCTCTCATCATGGACAGAGCAGGGCGGAGGCTGCTCCTGACCTTGTCAGGTGAGGGCTCACCCCTGAGCAGCCTCCCCGCCATGGGCTGGAGGGCCTTTGCCCAGGCCACCACATTGCGGGAGGAGGACAGGGAGCATTTGTGATGACAAACGTTGTGGACTAATGCGGCCATGATTTGACGGCAGCTCGTCACCAAGCGCTCACTGCAGGCCTGTCCATGCTAGTGGCACTCCCACACCACGCCTTTGACCTCTGGTGAACCCACCAGGAGGCACCGTCACAGCCCCAGCTTATGATGGGAACACTGAGGGCCAGGAAGGTGAAGTGACTCAGGAGCTTGTGGGTCGTTTTGGACAAGTGACTTGACCTCTCTGAGCCTCAGTCTCCCGCTCTGGGAAATGGGGGTAACGGTAGCACCTCCCTCAGCGCCATCGTGAGGAGTGGGAGGTGATCCACGTGAGACCTTCAGCAAGAGCTGCGGCCCACGGACACTGGTACCCAGCAGCTGCTGCAAAGACAACCGTCGGGGCTGAGGGTCACCCGCTGCTGCTGCTGCTGCGCCGGTACCTCCCGTTTCCTCGGCCCAGAGGGTCTGCTCCAGGAACTTCTTACAGATGGCTGAGGTCCAAGGCGGGGTGGCTGCCACCCAGTCAGGACTCCTGGGGCCAAGGTCACGGAACACCAGGCTGGCCGCTCTCTGGGAGCCGAGCCTGCCCCTCTCAGAGGCATCCAGGCCATGCTGCTGCCCCCTGGGCCGTTCCCCGGGCGCCCCACCCACTGCCGCCCTCCCGCCTGCAGGTGTGGTCATGGTGTTCAGCACAAGCGCCTTCGGCACCTACTTCAAGCTGACCCAGGGTGGGCCCGGCAACTCCTCGCACATGGCCCTCTCGGCGCCTGTCTCCGCAGAGCCTGTGGATGCCAGCGTGGGGCTGGCCTGGCTGGCCGTGGGCAGCATGTGCCTCTTCATCGCCGGTAAGGGGGCCCATGGGAGGCTGGGCGAGGAGTGGGAGGTGATCCTCCGGCCCTGCTCTGGCGGCTCCCAGCAGGTGGGGTCTTCCCCAGCCTCACCTCTAGTCTCGCAGGTCCCAAGCTCTGCATTTATAGCTCTGACCGCATGCAGATGCTGAACTAGGCTCCTCTGCTTTCCTTCCACTTAATCCCCTGAGCAGCCCTTGAGCAGGCCCCGTTGTGACCCCATCTCAGAGACAGAGCCTGTGCCTGAGGAGGGAAGAGGCTGGCCGAGGCCTTGGCAGGAAAGCATGGAGCTGGTGGGACCACACTGGGATCCAGGACCCCTCAGCCCCACAGGCCGGGAAGCTGGGTCTCCTGGCTCTGTGGCGAGCCGAGGAGCCCAGCCCTGCGGGCCCTGAGGCCTGTCTTGCCTGTCTCGCTCCCACAGGCTTTGCGGTGGGCTGGGGACCCATCCCCTGGCTGCTCATGTCAGAGATCTTCCCTCTGCATGTCAAGGGCGTGGCGACAGGCATCTGTGTCCTCACCAACTGGCTCATGGCCTTTCTCGTGACCAAGGAGTTCAGCAGCCTCATGGTGAGTGTGGGCTCCCCCGGCACCCCATTCGTGCAGTCAGCCGTGCAGCACTTTCTAAAACCACTTGTATTGCAGAAGACCCGGGGTGGGGTCGTGGCCCTTACAGGCAGCCTGGGCCCCATCATGCCTGGGCCACTGGCTATCTTGGGCAAGGCGAAGTGGAGGCAGATGGGCTGGGCCAGATGGGGAACCCAGGCTGTGACCCCTCAGGAGTCCTCCGCCTGTCTTGGCAGTCAGACAGCACAGCTGGCCTCTCCCCTTCGTGAACGTCAGGAACGTGGGCCTTGAGCCTAAGGTCTACGTGGGAAGAGTTGACAGGACTGGGCTGCAGCCCCACCCTGGCTACTTCCTTGCTGTGTGACCTTGGGTACGACGCTTACCTTCTCTGAGCCCGCTTCCTTAGCTGAAACTGGAGGAGAGCAACAGCAGCTTGCTGTTAAGGCTGATGGGAGCATGAACTCAGTTCGTCCTGCTGCTGCCTGCTCACGGATGGACTGGCACAGGCGTGGACCCTGTCCCGGGGCTTCCCAGTCAGCAGAGAGACAGTTGTCGGGCAGATGATCTGGTCGTTTGTTCAGTCATTTGTGCCCTCCAGGTCTCCTGGCATGTGCCATGTTCAGGCCCGTTCAAGGCGCCAGGGAGAGCAATGAACAAGATGGACACGGTCCCCTTTATGACGAGGGCGGGAAAGGCTGTGGCAGTGGTGCGAGAATGAACCCCAGTGGGGTGGGTTAGGATGTGGTAGGGCGGGTCAGTGAGGGGCCAGCCTGGAGTCTGCGCTGAGCCTGGGACCCACTGAGGCAGGGCTGCCCGGGGAGCACGTTGGGGGGCCAGGCCGATGCCGGGGGTGGAGATTACTTGCTGCAGCTGGGAGGGGATGGATAGCAAAGGAAGGAGGAAAAGAAGCCAAGAAGGAGGTGACAAAGGACCTAACAGTCCTGTTAGGAGAGAGAATGTCCAAGAGGCCAAGAGAAGGCCTTCAAGGAGGGAGAGATCACCAGGTCCCAGAGGACCAGGAGCTGAGCAGCACCTTTTCAGTTCTGGCATGTGGGAGGTCACAGCGGTGGGCGGTGGCGGGGACGGGCTCTGACTGAAGGGGATGGCTCACTCCTGCCTCCATGCCACCAGCCCCAAGAGTCCCCATGTGCTCCTGGGGCCATGCTCGCTCCCCCCTGTCTCACCCATTTCCACCACACTATGAAAGAACCGCCTGGGGGCCTCAGCGTGGGGCCAAAGCTGAGGGTGGAGGGTGGGTCTGTGGACCCTGGAGTGAGACCTGGAACAGGAGCCCAGCTGTCACTGGATAGCAGGTCTCTGGCCTTGAGGCAGTCACTTCATTGCTGTGAGCCTCAGTTTCCCCAGCCATACAACCTCAGTATCTTGGACGGTGCTCGGCCCAAGCCATCAAACTGGATGCCAGACCGTCCTCCATGTCCCAGAGCTGGGTGGAGACAAAATGGCTGTGGCCTTGGGCAGGGCAGGCTGGGGTCAGGGGACTGGACCCCCTGGCGGCGGAGCTGCCTCAGTGATTGTGTGGGGCCTCCTGATCTCTCCCCACATCCACCCATGGCCTTTCATCTCTCTGCAGGAGGTCCTCAGGCCCTACGGAGCCTTCTGGCTTGCCTCCGCTTTCTGCATCTTCAGTGTCCTTTTCACCTTGTTCTGTGTCCCTGAAACCAAAGGAAAGACTCTGGAACAAATCACAGCCCATTTTGAGGGGCGATGACAGCCACTCACTAGGGGATGGAGCAAGCCTGTGACTCCGAGCTGGGCCCAAGCCCAGAGCCCCCGCCTGCCCCAGGGGAGCCAGAATCCAGGAGCACAGCCCCTCTGGAGCCTTGGTCTGCAGGGTCCCTCCTTTCTGGCATGCTCCCTCCAGCCCACGACCCGGGGCTCGGAGGCTCACTTGCCTCCTGTTCCAGCTCCAGCTGCTGCTCTGCGGACTCGGGCACACCTTAGAGCTTTGCAGACCCGCAGTCAGCCCTCCACGCGTGACACTAAAGCTGTGCAAGGGGAGGTGGGCCTCTCGGATCTTTGTCTTCAGGCTGGAGGTGCTTTTGGAGGTTGGGTGCTGGGCACCCGGTCGCTCCTCTCACGCGGCTGCCTTATCGGGAAGGAACTTTGTTTGCCAAATAAAGATTGACACAGAAAATCAGGTCAGTGTCTCTGGGCTTTGTGCAAGCTCAGTCTGAAGAGGGTTTATTCCCATCACTTCCAGGACTAGATGCTGCCCAGGACACCCTGTGGCTTTACTTGCTCATGGTCAGCCAAGCTTACCCTTGGCACTGAGAAGTCATTTCTGACTCCTTCCTTGGGCTCAGTTCCCTGGGTCATCAGCCATCAAATCTTGTTGAGTTTAAAAAATAGAAAGGAAAAAAAAAACCTTTTGTTCTGTTGACTTTAATGGAGCCAGAAGTCTTTTACAATTTTATTATTAATTAGCTAAGTAATATGTGTTCATTGTAGGGAAATTAAAAAACAGATTTCATGTCATTTTTATAGCTGTTCACCAGCTGCTTGGCACTCTCCTAGGCACTTCACAAATAGTCACTCATTTATTTGGATAAACAACAATTTACTTGGATAAACAAATAAAACTATTTACAGCCACCCCTTTCCAGAGATAACATCTCTGTTGAGATTTTGTTCTGCCAGGCACGGTGGCTCACACCTATAATCCCAGTGCTTTGGGATGCTGAGGCGGGAGGATCTCTTGAGCCCAGGAATTCGAGGCTGCACCACTGTACTCCAGCCTGGGAGACAGAACAAGACCCCAACACCCCACCAAAAAAAAAAAAAAAAAAAAAAAAGATTTCAGTTCTATCTTGAAAGATCTCACTTCCAACACTCATGCTGTCTAGCAACGCTAAGCAGAGGGGACCATTCTTCCCAGCTCACGGCCGCTTTGTCCAGTTCCCAGACCTGCAGCCCCAGCACCTGCCCACCTTGGCATCTCCCATTAAGTCACATAATGAGGGCAGAAAGCAGGGGCTGTTTTCGAGGAGACTTGAAGTACAGCATGGACCAGGCAGAGCAAGGCGCCGGATCAGATCAGTTCCAGAAGATACGCAGCAGCTACTCTGATTTCAGTGAAATGTGTGGAACCATGCCCAGGACTCTGGACAACTCTCAGCTGTAGCAAATCCAGTTTCCCCACAGGCCTTCCAGAAGCAGAGTCCTGTCTCTGTGCAGGGGCATCTCCCGTGGCCATGGCTGCACCTCGGCATCCACAGTACCAGTGCTTGCGTGGCAGTCCACTGATCGCGTGAGAACCATATTGCTTTTTGCATCTCAATGAAGTCATAGTAGCAATTTGTCAAGCACTTTTTTTTCCAGACTGGTATAAAATTGTATGTGCTTTTGTAAACCATTTAACGACAAAAGTAAAATACAAAGGGGAACCGGGCACGGTGGCTCACACCTGTAATCCCAACACTTTGGGAGGCCGGGGTGGGTGGAGTCAGCCTGACTAACACGGTGAAACCCTCGTCTCTACTAGAAATACAAAATTAGCCAGGTGTGGTGGTGCACGCCTGTAATCCCAGCTACTCAGGAGGCTGGGGCAGGAGAATCGCTGAGGCTAAGGTGGGAGAATCCCTGAAACCCAGGAGGCAGAGGTAGCAATGAGCCAAGATCACACCACTGCACTCCAGCCTGGGGGACCGAGCAAGACTCTGTCTCAAAAATACATACATACATACATACCTACATACATACATACCTACATACATACATACATACATAAAATGAAAATCATTCGAGATATGTTCTCTTTCCACCAGCCTTGTGCCTGGAGGTTATGGATGTGGGGCTCTGGCTGCCCTCTTGCCATCAGAGCTTCAGACTGAAGCTTAACATGGGCCAAAGCAAGCATGAAGGAGAAATGGGGAGGTGGGGGGAGGTGATGGGGAGGTGGAGGGAGATGATGGGGGGAGGTGATGGGGAGGTGGGGAGTGATGGGGAGGTGGGGGAGAGAGGTGATAGGAGGTGGGGAGAGATGATGAGGAGGTGGGGGGATGAGTGAGGAGGTGGGGGAGATGATGCAGAGGTGGGGAGATGATTGGGGAGGTGGGGGAGGTGATAGGAGTGAGGAGATGTGATGGGGAGGTGGGGGGAGGAGAGTGGGGGAGGTGATAGGAGGTGAGGAGATGTGATGGGGAGGTGGGGGGAGAGGATGGGGAGGTGGGGGATGATGGGGAGGTGGGGGAGATGATGAGGAGGTGGGGGATGATGGGGAGATGGGGGGACGTGATGGGGAGGTGGGGGAGATGAGGAGGTGGGGGATGATAGGGAGGTGGGGGAGATGATGGGGAGGTGGGAGATGATGGGGAGGTGGGGGAGATGATGATGAGGTGGGGGATGATGGGGAGGTGGGGGGACGTGATGGGGAGGTGGGGAGAGATGAGGAGGTGGGAGATGATGAGGAGGTGGGGGAGATGATGGGGAGGTGGGGGAGATGATGTGGAGGTGGGGGGAGATGATGGGGAGGTGGGGAGACGTGATGGGAGGTGAGGGGATGTGATGGGGAGGTGGGGGGAGAGGATGGGGAGGTGCACATCAAAATGTTAACAGTGCTGCCCTGCCACTTGACTTTTTGAAAGCTGCCTTGAGAATAAGCTTTCTGGGTCCAAATTATCCTTTGCCAAGCAAAGCCACTTATACATGCCTTTAGGTTAGTAATATAAAAAACCCAGACCTTCTTTATGAGTGCGGGGAGGAAGTGTTCACAACATTATGGTTATATAAACATCATTACTGTAAACCTAATGAAATGGACTTAAAGACATAATCCTATGTCAGTCAGCCTGTGTTACTCAAAAAGAATATTCTAAGTAACAATATAAAATGGATTTTCTCTTATACGACATTAGTTCATTAGAATAATGCCAGATTTGGGGTTGTATCTTATTTAAGACATATTAGATTTCTTTTTTTCCTAGAGTTTTTGTCTTTTTTTCCCCCCCCCTTCTTAAGAAACACGTCATTTTCTTCACCATATGACTGAGGTCTTTCTCCTTTGTAATAGGCTAGCTGTTGCATGGAATCCATTGCCGAATTCTCCTTGCTGACCTCTTGTTTTGGGGGACCTGTTGCAAAGCTGTTATCTTAAGGTCTTCTTTTCATTGAATTCCTGGGTTAATTTCCTTGCTTCTTGGGTTCCACACCTTGCTCTTTGGATTCCATTTCAATTTGCAGGGCTCCACCTTCACAGGGCTCCCATGTCTGATACCAGTCATTTTTTCAGGACAGGTACAAAGGGAGTGAGTTTCTGCATGCCTGAAAGGCCTTTATTTTACTGTCACTTTTTTTTCTTTGTTTTTTGCAGAGACAAGGCAAGTCCATAGAGTAAAGTGAAAGCAAGTTTATGAGCACAGTAAAGGAATAAAGAAAGGCTACTCCATAGACAGAGCAGCCCCGAGGGCTGCTGGTTACCCATTTTTATGGTTATTTCTTGATTCTATGCTAAACAAGAGGCGGATTATTCATGCCACCCTTTTTTAGACCATATAAAGTAACTTCCTGATGTTGCCATAGCATGTGTGAACTGTCATGGTGCTGGTGGGAGTGTAGCAGGGAGGATGACCGAGGTCACTCTCATCACCATCTTGGTTTGGGTGGGTTTGGGCAGCTAAGTCTTTACTGCATCCTGTTTTATCAGCAAGGTCTTTAGGACCTGTATCTTGTGATGACCTCCTATCTCATCCTGTGACTTAGAATGCCTTCACCGTCTGGCAATGCATTCCAGTACGTCTCAGCCCCATTTTACCCCGCCCCTACTGAAGACGAAGTTGCTCTGGTTCAAACGCCTCTGATACCATGAGATTTTGAATCTTGATAATCTTGATACTTTCTTCTGGGAACTTGTTCTCTTACTTCTTCATTCCTGCATCCCAGCCCCTGATTTTCTCTGTTTCCTCTTTCTGAAACTTCTAGTAGACACGGTACTTCCTGGCACAGTATCCTCCCTCAATTTTTCACTTATATACTCTTTTAGTGTCTTTGCATTCTAGGAATTTTTTTTACTTTATCCTCTAGCTCTTCTACAAAATGTTCTGTTAATCATGTTTTAACGTAATTTTGATCCTTTTAAATGTATTGAGACCTATCTTGGTGAATGTTCCACGTGCAATTGAAAAGAATATGTACTGCGCTGTTGCTGGGTGGAGTGTTCTATAAATGTCACTTAGGTCAAGTTGTTTAATAGTCTGCTTCTGGTCTTCTGTATTAATCAGGGTTATCCAGAGATTAAACTAATGGTGTGTGTGTGTATGGGCAGGGGGGGTGGTGTATGTGTAGGTAGAGAGAGAGAGAGATACAGATATATATAGAGAGAGAAATAAGAAATCAGCTCACATAATGGCCAGGCACGGTGGCTCACGCCTGTAATCCCAGCACAAGGCCAAGGCAAGCAGATCATTTGAGGTCAGGAGTTCGAGACCAGCATGGCCAACATGGTGAAACCCTGTCTCTACTAAAAATACAAAAAATTTAGCTGGGCATGGTGGCACACTCCTATAATCCCAGCTACTTGGGAGGCTGAGGCAGGAGAATCACTTGAACTTGGGAAGCAGAGGCTGCA